ACAAAAAGGAAAACCTAAGAATATAGTGTTGTGCTTTTAACATCAGTACTAACCTCTACTAACTTTAAATTTCTTCAGAGCCACAAAGTTAACAAAACCATAAAACTCTGCAAGTTTTTTTTAAATCCAAGTTACAATGTTTCTCAAGCTGAAACCTCAAATTAGGCTTTACATCTACACTGTGTGCTGCAGCAGAAATTGAAATCATATAAATACTTATTCTGAGTGTTATAAGACACTTTAGTTAATTAATAAAAATTAAAGTCCTAGCGCTCCTTGAWGTATTGAAGAATTATTGTTAAATTCTGCTGTAATTGAGATAGCTAATTATATAAAATAATAGGGTTTAACAAAAAATAAAAAATCAGAATTATATTGATCAACTAAAAAGTGAGAAAGGGGCAGGACTACATATAAGTTTTACTTCAACCCACAAATTTTATACACATTATTTTGTAAGTTGGCCAAAATGTATGTTTTTATATGTTTATATAAACATTTTTTTGTTTTGTGACTGTTTTGAAAAATATATATTCTATTCTATTGTATTTAGGGCTTGTCATATCAAATTAATTTGAATGACTATTATTATCCACCTCAAAAAAAGGAWCTCTGTACTTTATTTATATAGGTCTTTTTATAGTCATTCATGCAGCCCAAATGGYAATGTGCACCCCTACAACTGCTATATCAAAACGACAAGCTTGGCGGTGGGAGGTGTGCTATTACTTTTCAAAAAACTACTGTCAAAAAAACTCATAAGAGCTCAGCTCCAAACTGACTTTAATTGCAACCCTCTGAGTCATGTGAGCTGTCTGGATTAGAAAGRTTTCTTAGTGAACAACTTCTTCCTTCAGCCACAAGTTTCATGAGAAACAGACATAGAGAGGTGCCTTATCAGCTGTGTGCATGCACGCATGTGGGGTGGGGGGTTGCACTGTGATACGGAAGCTCGGYGTAGYTTACTTGACATCTTAAAACACATTTCCTCAAATGTATTTTGAATCTAAAAAGGACTGCACTGAGAAGTAGTGTTGGGAGCTCAGCAGACAGTTTCAATTTCATCGCTTGTTTGCTTTGTYGCTGTTGAGAGCMTGCAGGAGTCACAGACGGGGGTGGGGGGTGGGGAGGTGTGCTCTGTGATGAGGAAACTCAGTTTGGAGATACAGCACAGAGGAGGAGCTGGTCCCAAAAGGCGGTTCTAGTCCCAACCGGTTGTTCTTGTTTTCCTGCCTGGTTGCCTCAGGTCAGCATAAGATTTCTCAAACATGCATGAATGAGTCAAAGTAAGGCTCTGATAACATGAAATTAAACTCAAAAAGTTGATTTTACATGATATAGCCCCTTAAGGCTCTAATTCAGCCATTTTACGACTTACAGCACTGGTCAAGTAGTAACCAAGAACAAGCTTTGACAAATTATGAATGCTAAATAAAAATCCAAGATGGCTGCCATAGCTAAAATGCAAAATTTACCATAACTCATAACTTTATATTTGACTCAAATTTGGGATGGTAGTAGATTAAAGTAATCTCCAACAAACAGTAAAGCCAAATCAAAAAGAAAAAACAAGTACAGTAGTTCCTCTGGATGGGTTCTTCTTTAGTGAAACGTTTCATTTTGTAAAGAAGAACCCATCCAGAGGACCTACTTATTTTTTCTTTTTGATTTTTTTTCTACCTGGATTACTGAGATGCATCAGGACAGTAAAGCCAAATCTTTATTTAAATTGGATGGCACGTGCAATGCCCTTCCATAGTTTTTCCGGGAAATATTCTAGTCTAGTCTAGTCTAGTCTAAGTGATGCATATAATTAACTAAAAACATCTTATTCTGATAGGGAAAGGAGTTTAGCCATTTTGGTCAAACCYTGGAAATGCATAATCACGTGTCACAATAAGGTAAGACATGATAGTGCTCAGAAAATGTGTTGAGGATGACCCTTATTACCAAATTTAGCACAGTGTTTGTAAAACTGAGTCATTTTCTTGTTGTCTAAGGTTGATTAACTGTGGCCGCATTGAATGGGTTGGACACCGAAAGTTAATCAGCTGTAGATGTACATCTAACATTCTGATAGTTTCATCATAAATCTGTCNTTTCCTTTATTTGTCTCTATCTAAAGGTTTGATAGGTTAAAAGGATGAATGGAGTTTATTTACTTATCAGTTAATGTGAAACTTATTAATATAGATCAAAATCAGGTCCAATTGTGTCTGATTATGATTAGGTTAATTTAAGTTTGCTATTTTACCATTAGGGGTCTTTAGAGGCAGCTTCAGGAAGTCATTTCAGAAGCTGGTAATTTTATTTTTTTTATTTTTCCTCCATCCTGGGGTCTTTCTGCTTGATTGGTAATAATACAGGTGCCAGGAAGCATTCCAGTGCAACGTTTGTGTGTTTCACATATAGACGTTTTCCCAGAACTGAGGTCTTATCTGGAATAAACACGGTTTAAAGAAAGTCTAGCTGCTTATTCTTCCTGTCAATCCATGTTTTGTGAACACGAGGGACCAGAAACACTTCTTGATGAATAACTGCAAATATTCGCTCAATCAGCCAACACAACGATCCCCCAAAGCTTTTGTTATATTTGTGGCTGACAAAATAAAAATGTTAGACTAATGTACTGATTGTTTACTTCAAGGGGCTGTTAGTTTGCCGCTATATTTGACGAGCGCCTTCTTTTGTTCAGAGCCGACAGGTGCTGCCTGGTGGTATGTGATTCAGGCTTTCAGCTCTGAGAGGGTCTTCAGCGCACCGACCCTTTGCGTTGTCAGGCTCTTCACATTGGCTGGATGMATATCAGCCTGCTAATGACATCTGCAAAAATAGGATCCGTTTCCTGTGGTGGAGGACTCCAGACATGCGCCTCACCTCCGCAAACTCACAGCACAAAAACAAACAGAAACATAATGACGAGCGCAAAGGTCTGACAGCAGTGATTACCTGCGCCAAGCTTTGTGTTGACTGATGCATGAGGAGACACTCATACACATATTCATCACCTCCCACACAGCACTGGCCTTAGTTGGACTCCCTGCTTCTATTTTGAGATTAAGGCTTTTGAAATGCGTGCTGAAAGCAGAACGAGCGTGCTTTATTCCTATATTTGTGGTTTCCAAAAAGAATTTCCRATTTTGATTCATCTGACCACAGAACAGTTTTTGCCTCAGTTYATTTTAAACGAGCTTCGGCCCAGAGAAGACAGTGGCTTTTCTGGATGGKGTTCACATAAGCTTCCTCTTTTGCATGATAGAGCTTTAACCAGCATTTGAAGATAGCACAGTGAACTGTGTTTACAAACAGCAGTTTGTGGAAGTGTKCCTGAGCCCATGCAGTGATGTCCACAACAGACTGAGACCTGTTTTTAATGTGGTACCACCTAAGGTGCTAAAAATCACAGGCATCCAGTTCTGACTTTCAGCCTTGTCTTTTGTACCACTTATTTTTACAGCTTTCTGTTGTCCCAGGCCCAACTTTTTTGAGATATGTTGCAATTTGAAAGTACTTTATTATTTCGTAAAAGTGGCATCATTGTTTTATTTAAAATAGCTGTTTAATTGTAAAGAAAATTTATTATTTTTTTCCAGATTTGTAAATCATTGCATTCAGTTTGTATATTTCACACAGCATCCCAACTTTGTCAGAATTGGTGCTGTAACATAACTTATAAGTCTAAGAATATATATTTTTAATAAGTAGGACTTGTTCATTACTTTGCATATACTACAGTAACCTACTTTTTACGTCACAGGAACCATTTGATTATCAAAAAGCATGACCAGTGGTGAATTATATCTGGGTTTTTGGGATGATTGAGTTATTTTTTAAAGTGTATTATTACTCTGTAATGTTTAATGTTGCTGCTGATTTCTAAGACAACAAAACATTTAGAGCCATCAACAGGTTGTAAAGTAATCTGAATTATTGTTGTGTAGAGCATCTGTAATTGCTCAAATAATGATAGCATAAGTTAATTCTTTCAAAAAAAAATTTAATTTAAAATTATTTAAATTATTTATTCTCCGTTATTTCTTGTTTTCTGCACTTTCCAGGTCTTGTCTCCGTTGTCGGACTCCATCCTGGCAGAGAAGACCATCATAGTGGCGGATGACAAGGTGACCATCACAGAACTGGGGGTCCAATTGGTGACGGGTCTCTCCATGAATCTGCAGTTAAGTCTGGGAAGCAACCGGGCCATCCTGGCGACCACCACCACACAGGAAGTTCTGCAGAACCCCAAACAGGTGAGGACTCTGTGATGCTTTTTTTCTGTTTCACTACTGTTAAGAGCTGAGTTGCTCTTACCCGGATCATTGGGATTTTGGAGAAATTAGGAGGAGACACCTTAAAGAATTAAACATAATTTATTACAGATTACATGTAAAAACCCACAGAAACAGATTTGCAAATCTGGGAGAACACCGGACCGATACTTCCCTTCGATCATCAAGTGTCTCGTCNTATCACCTCTTGCCTTGGGCAAAGGACAACTATAAAAGTCACTGCAAACAAGAATCTTTTGACCAGTATCTTTTCAGAGCTAACATGCTCAGTTGCAGCCTGTTTCTACGAAAACAGGATGAGTGCAGTGTTTTTGTTTTTAATGTATTTTTTAAGTTGTATATATCAGTATTTTCTCTCTGCCCCTYCTCATACAGTTTGTGTGTTTCCACAGGAGGCCTTGATCAGCGCCTGGCTCCAGTTCAGTGACGGCTCCGTGGCTCCACTAGACCTCTACAATCCAGACTCCTTTGTCTTGACAGCCACCTCCCTGAATGAGGAAGTGGTGACGGTGCAGCAGGACCCGTCGTGGAAGTGGCCTGTCGTCGTGACGGAGGCAGAGGGGCAAGGTCTGCTCGTCGTGGTGCAAATGACTGCTTCCGAGGCTTGCCAAAAGTCCAAGCGCCGCAGCGTCCTCGCAGCGGGGAACTGCAACGTCAGGGTAAAGTTTGGTCCTACTGACAGCTCCAGAGGGGGGAGCAGTGAATATAGCCCGGATGGAGACGAAATGGAGAACAGAGGCAGGTTCTCCTCCTCACAGGACAGAACCGGTCTTGACACCCACTACTATGGCAGCTCTATTGCCGACATAGAGGATGGGGTGTCGAGGAGGGCGACCACAACTAGAAGTGCTATAATACGCCGACCTAATGGCGGGAAACTTTCAGATGACGGGGGCCAGAACATGCCAATAGACTTTGCAGACTTCCCTGCTCAAGTAGATCTGCCACATGGCCACAACATGGACGATGACCTCGTTCAGAACACTCGAGGGCTCACGGATCTAGAGATCGGCATGTATGCCTTGTTGGGGGTTTTCTGTCTCGCCATCCTGGTTTTTCTAATTAACTGCATTTCCTACACCCTCAAATACCGCCATAAGGAGCTGTCTGTTGAGGGGCAAGAGAACATGAACCATGCCCACGACTGGGTGTGGCTGGGGAATGAGGCGGAGCTGCTGGAAAGCCAAATTAGCCTCTCCCCTCAGCAGGAGGAGGAACAGACCTCCATGATGAACTCGAGCAGCGGCGTCGAAGAAGGCAGCCACCTGCTGAATGGGGGGTCCGTGCAGAAGAACGTGCAGAGCCAGGTGCACCGGCCGGCGGACACGGCCAAGGAAAGCAAAGGAGAGTCCCCCACCACCAAGAGGAAAAGAGTCAAGTTCACCACATTCACCACCATTACGTCAGACAGTGGCTACCCYGCTGTTAACACACGCACAGGAAGCCATGGCCAGGACATTAAGTGGGTGTGTCAGGATGTGCAACTGGGAGACTCCAAGGAGTTGCGCAATTACATGGAAAGGTTAAATGACAGTGCTTTAAAAGAGGTGGCATAATAAACCATATGCACTTGATTTGAACTCACCCTTTTGCCTTCCAGAGGAACGCRGGTCTGAACAGACCGACATCAGGTGAAAGAGGAGGAAATTCACCGCAGAATAACCCTGACAAAGGGTCAGGACATTTAAAACTATCATGATTCAACTTGATGAATCAAAATGAAATTATGAGATCAGGTGGATCTTTTCCCATTTGTTTATCAGATGATAACCTTTATACCATTGCTTTAGAACTGAGCGTTGAGCCAAGGAAGACATACAGACGGCAGATGGATTGAAAACAAATGGTAGTTGTTCAGAATGTGCACATGAAATGGGTTTTAGGAGTTTTGTATGACATTGGAGAGCAGTTTCGTAAGTCACATTGTTTAGTCTGTGGAAAAGTTCTGAAAAAAAAAAACAGTTGAAGCAGGCCAAGACGAATCTCCGCATGTTGTTGGAAAGAAAAAAAGGCACAAGTTTTCAGTTTAGTTTTTCTCTTCTCCACCTTAGCAAGGCAGAAAATCTGTTCTGTAAAAACTGGTCCGTCTCCAAATCATTGTATCGTTGCTCTGTATATTGTATTTTCATAACAATTAATGAATACACAGCTGTGTCAAGAGTGTGTATCCGATTGTGTTCATTCTAGCACCACAAGACCGTACATTTACATTTTTAGTTGCGAAAAATGAACCAATCCTGTTTTTACTCTTCCGTTGAGGCTTTCATTTTGTCCATTAGGGCTGAATCATGGCAGCCAAAGTGTGGCAGAGCTTTTAAAGTGAAAAGCTTTGACAGTGGGATAATGTGAAATTTCACACAACACCCCATGACAAGTTTCAAGTTTTCGTCAGTTTTTTGAATACGTCAGTTTATGTCTTGGTGCTTTCAGTCTCATAGCAAGTCGAAACAGACCAAACGGTAGACAACCCAGAATTTATTTCACCCTCTGTCTCTCAGAAAACTCTAAAGAAATCATTTTGACCGACATGAAAAAGTGTTTTTCTTTCTGAAAACAGATCTTTTATCTTTCAAAAAAATGCACTTATAATGATAATCATTTCTTGAAATCTCCTAAACAAAGGCATTCATCTGAGAAATTGTTTTTATTTTTTTGTTTTGTTCAGTGAATGTTATTATCTTCTCAGTGGGGTTGGTTAAAGTGGGTTTTATTTCTCATTAAGCGGAAAAAAAAATCACAGAGCGTATTACTGCACAGTGGATCAGATAGTTAATCAGAAAAACATTATTACCTGAAAGAAGAGCGGTGAGGATATTTTAAGTGAACCTTGGGTCTGATTGTGGGTTTCAGTCATTCAGATTAGCTAAGATTACCCCCTTTTGACATTAGCAGGAAGTAGTTGTGGCTTAGCATTTTATATTCAGCAAGTTTGTTCATTGATTTTTTTATCTTAATTTGCACGACTGCTACTGACAAATCAAATTCCCTAAAAAAGCTATGAACACAAAATAAAAGCAATTAGACCAGTTGACCAAACAAATTAATAATACTTCAAAGCTTGGCAGAGTTTAAGACAAAAATCTTCTGATGAGGAGGGAGGGAGTCGTAACTGTTTAGGTCAAATTTTGGAAATGACATAATGTGAAATTTATATTTTGAGATCTCACATGATCGGTTAGCTCCTGAAATACATGTTGGGGATCAATCTCAGCTAATAGCCCACAACACCACATTGATTTTATCTCAACAGCTGTAAAACTGATTGAGTTGTAGCTATTTTTGATGCTGGCTGATTAGCTGTGGCGACTATTTTGAATTGGGGTGACCTTTAAAGTTAATCAAATGTAAATGTACAGAGTGAATTTGAAATCACAAAACACTATTTTATTTCCAAAACAAAACAGAAAATTACATCTTAATACTACAGCAAAATATTGGCTGAGGGGGCTTATCTTGGAAAAAAAAACTTGCACAAAAACGTTCAAGATGGCGGACATGTTGTGAACCCCACCCACCCACTCAATTTTTTCCAAAATAAAATGGTGTCCTGACACTTTTGACTTACCTGCATACTAATACATCAAACAATTGCTTTCTGAAAAATACCTTTAAATTTGTCCATTGGTTCATGAGTTATTTTGCTAGCATATAGGCAGACTTGACTGTAAAAGTTACTGACAAAGTTTTACCAACAGATYCCATGGTAGTGCACAGAATATACCCAAATTTACCTCAATGGTGTGGCCATCTTGAGTTGATTTAAAAACAGGTAAGAACTGAACTGGTTCCTTAATATAAAATGAGACTGCGTTAGTGAGTAAAAGTGAAACTGCATCAATCAGGTAATTTAAATTCAAGACAAAATGCAAAATAAAGCTGTCTAAACATTGTGTTGTAAACCAACCTTCAGTACAAACTGTGGTGCAGACACTTTTCTCTTCTGGCCCAAGTTTTTTCTTGTGACCTGTTTACTGTGTATTTTTCCTGCAGCCATGGGGAATCGAGTGGCRGTCCGTGCAGTGTGCTGGGACTGGCTACTGCTCTCATTTTGAAAAGAAAAAAAGGATTTAAAAAAATCATACAAGTATGGGATGGATTTAACAGTCAGCCACCAGGGGCATGATTGATGAGGGGGTCCTTTGTAATTATTACACCTCTGCAATTCTTTTCATGACTATCACCAGTGGCTTCAGCCTCTTCAGGTAGGAACTGAGCAGCACAGACTATTAAAGAGTCAACAGTCTCATCCCCCTGAGTCCTAGTCTTAGTTTGTGATCGTACCTGCTGGGATGTGGCACAGGAAGGACGACTCTATTTACTTCCCTTCTTCTGGTACGGTAACTCAAGACTCCGTTTTGTTGGCCTTGAAGTCTTGACTTCCTTGAAAGGAAGAGAAGGGGAAAAAAGCTCTCCCCAGGCCTTCAGCTTAAATGGATTTTTAATTAAATTGATGATGTGAGACCAACAAACTCCTTACTAATGGTTGGTGGTGCTCCCTGTGGTCCTAATGTGCCGGGCCTGCATTTGCAATTTCCAAATAATTATTCGCTGCGTGATTTATGTTGCCTCCTTGAATTCATTTTAAAAGTCAGCTTGCAGTAGTTTTACAACAACTAAAAYGAAATAAATAAATAAATAAAATAAAAATAAAAACACAATGCTGGAAAGGGAGCAAATGAGCAGAAGATGACAAGGTCAGCTCGACACTCTGGGCCGAGCAATTTTTCCAGATGGTTCCACAGGGACCTAAACACAACATTGTTCAATGGAAGCACTCCTTGTGCAAAGTGTGTGACCTGAAACAGAATCTCCAATCTGAGCACTGCTTCGCAGGAGGGATCCAAACAAATGTTTACAAGTGCAGCCAACGCATTCAACATATAAATAAAAGTATTAATATTTCATAACAAGGCGCTGTGTTACATTACATTTAGCTCTAGTTTCAGCTCAGGTTTTATGCATTGGAATATAAAATCATGGCACAGTTTGACCCTCTAAAACACATATCCAACTATTAAAGACACAGTTCCAAAATTTATGTGGTTTTATGCCAAAAAAGGGATATTTACAAACTATTGATAGACCAAAGAATGAATTATTAATTAAGTAGTTTTATAATTAAAAAAGGAAATACTGTCAGGACTAAAATAAAAGTTTGTATTTTATATGACTGTCAACGAAAAGTAAAACCCTTTAGGGGATTATATCATGCAAAATCTACTTTTTTGTCCATTAAATGCATTTTGTTGTGCACTTGCAGTCTCTAAGAGTGCATAAAAGTTTCATTTAGTCTCTCCCAGAGCTGCATAGATATCTTTATATTCTGTTTGGACCATGTTTTTCAATACGTTCAGATTTCTCTATTTACTATGATGTTTTCTGAACTATTACGTCAAAGTAGTGGAACTGCCAAACAATGTATAGACTTATCAATTAATTTTGTCATCTTCATTTTCCTCTCAGTCTGGGTCAGAATCCATGGTTTGATGGACAAGTCATCCCTTGCTGACATCTTTTAACTCATTTGTAAAAATAAGATGTTGCTGCGCTGCTATATAGTCGTAAACTCCTCTATCAAACTGGTGTGGACCAGTCTGAAAGCTGGAGGGCGGGGTGTGAAGTTCATCATATCAAAACCAGCTGAGACACACCTTAGAGAAGGGCTGAAAGGGGGGCTTGAGGAGTTTCAATAAGGAGGAATTCAAAGCATTGAAGTTGCATTTTATATAAACCCCAACTGAATGATTTAAATATGAAAAATATGGATTTAAAAGCAAGATACATGTAAATTAAATTGATTCACTAGTTGAAGAAAATCAGAATAAAAAGCTTTAAACAAAAATAACATAAGTCCTGCTGAAAACCAAGCTGGAGCATGAGGCCAGTGGGTCAAAATTAAAAAAGAAATGAAGCATCGTGGTGTTCAGAGAGAAAAATGCAGTGTCCTCATATGAGGACGCAGGGTCTCAGGAGGTGAATAATCCGGAATGAAGATGAAATAACTTTAAGAGTCAGCAAGGATCTGGAGGTCTAATCGTCAGGACATTGTTCTCACTTACCTGTTTGCTCGTTGACCCAGGCAGGAGGAGCTGCAGGTGAATGTTTTACATCTTCATAGACTGGATACCTGTGGACATATGAGACAACTTGGAACAGCTAGAGGAGGGCTTTCAGGAACAGGTGGTMCGATCTTTGAACCTCAGGGCTCACACTGGTCTGGCATCAGCAAGGACATTGTCAGATGAAGGAGAATGATTCTCACAGATTAGGCTGGAGACATATTCAGCTACTTTTACATGAAGAATCAGTTACAAGAGCAACACAGGTCATCTGAATTATTCTTCCATCTTAAAAGGTAAATCCCACAAAGTAAGGACAAAGAAGCTGCAGATGCTGCCTGCATCCTGGTGTGGATCAGGACAGAGTTGTGTCGTCAAGTGTTGCCTTATCAGCTGTGGACAACAGGGAGAGTCACAGTCCTAAAAAATAAGAAAAAAAAACTTCTGAAAATAGCTGTAAAGGCTTTCAGAAAGAGCTGCGTACACACRGTTTTATGTCTTCATTTGGCCCTGTTGGGCATGTTTAGACTAAATGATCAATAAAAAAAGAAAACAAAATCTGCATTTTGCCTGAAGGAAAACTACAGAGGAGAATTTTAACTTTCAAATCTAACTTTCAAAACTTCTCATCCATTTAGATTCAGAAAAGTTAGCAATACTTCAGCACCACAATTAATCCATATTTGTAGAGTTTGTTTGAAATGTACACAATTTTAACATTACATTTTCATAATAAAAATGAGGTAATATAAGTAACTACTTATCAATTGTACATCTCGAATTTCATTAAAGATTATTTTGTAACCTTAAATACTGGAGAGAGATAAGAGGTTAGGTTAACCATTTATTAAAAAAATATATTTTTAAATCATGAAA